GTTTACCTGCTTTGAAAAATAAATGAGGACACTACTTATATTGTTCTACTTTTATACTTTAAAATGTCAAGAATAGTCACGAGGGATATTAATGAAACCATACCCAAGAATCTACTATATTCCTTCTAATGACTTGATAGATATTTTTTTAGAGTGACTAGATTTATTTTATTTAATCATTTCTCTCTGATTTGTCTTCTGCAATTTTTTAGCTGTTATAAGCCATTCCTTGATGAGAATTCAGGATTAATTAGTTTTATTTATATAATAAAAATACTATGTCTACAATGACAATTCATATACTTCAGGACTAAGGATATTCACGTTTTAAAAAATTTAGACTTTGCCAGTTTGCACTTTAAAGGAGCTTTACATTTAATCTCTTACCAGTTTAACCTCTCACATGTTTTCTTGCATCCTTACTAAAATAAGGTGTTACTTGTTTTACATTAGCCAACTCTTGTAATAGAAAAATAACTTTTCTTCTTTTATTTGTAGTTCTTTGTTAGTCAGTTTTCTGTCACTATAACAAAATACCTGAGATAATCAACTTAGAAAAAGAAAGAGTTTATTTTGTCTTATAGTTTTAGTTTTGAATTTTTATAATTTGTTCTTTCTAGTTTTACATGACAGTAGAATGTATCATACATACATGGAGTATAACTTCCCATTTCTGTGGTTGTATATGATGTGCAGTTACATGGTTGTGTATTCATAAACATAGGAAAATTATGTCTGATTCATTGTATAGTATTCCTATTCATATTTCCCCTCCCTTCCCCTCATTCTTCCCTGTCCAGTCTGTCAACCCTCCCTCCTACCTCTCCCTGCCCCTGCCCATTGTGAGTCAGCAACCACATATCAGAGATAATATTTGATCTTTGGTTTTGGGGACTTGGCTTATTTTGCTTAGCATGATAGTCTCCAGTTCTATCCATTTACTGACAAATTCCATAATTTAATTCTTCTTAATGACTAAGTAACATTCCATTGTATAGGTATACCACATTTTCTTTATCCATTCATTTGATGAAGGGTACCTAGGTTGATTCCATAGTTTAGCTATTGTGAATTGAACTGCTATACACATCGATGTTGTTGTGTCATTATAGTATGCTGATTTTAAGTTCTTCTGGTATATACCAGAGGAGTGGGATTCCTGGTTTTCTGAGGAATCTCCATACTGCTTTCCACAGTGGTTGCACCAATTGCAGTCCTACCAGCTATGGGGGACTGTATGAGTGTACCTTTTGTCCCACATGCTTGCCAACATTTATTGTTTCTTGAATTTTTGAAAATTACCATTCTGACTAGAGTAAGATGGAATCTCAGTGTAGTTTTAATTTGCATTTCACTGATTGCTAGTGATGCTGAACACTTTTTCATATATTTGTTAACCATTCTTATTTATTCCATGAAGTGCCTGTTTAGTTCCATTGCCCATTTATTGATTGGGTTTTTGTTTTTTTCTTTTTTTGTGGGGGGGCTGTTAAGTTTTTTGAGTTCTTTATATATCCTAGAGATTAATGCTCTATCTGAAGTATAGGTAGCAAAGATTTTCTCCCATTTTGTAGGCTCTTTTTTTTTTCACATTCTTGATTTTTTTTTTCCTGTGAAGAAGCTTTTTAGTTTAATACCATTCTATTTATTGATTCTTGATTTTACTTCTTGTGCTCTTTAGGAGTCTTGAGCAATTTGGTTCCTAAGCTGACATGATGGAGATTTAGGCCTACTTTTTCCTTTGTTAGGTGCAGGGTCTCTGGTCTAATGCCTAGCTCCTTGATCCACTTTGAGTTTTGTGCAGCTAAGAGATAGGGGTCTAATTTCATTTTGTTACATACGGGCTTCCCAGCACCATTTGTTGAAAGGCTCTTTTCTCCAATGTATGTTTATGGCACCTTTGTCTAGTATGACATCATTGTATTTATGTGGATTTGTCTCTGTATGTTCTATTCTGTACCATTGGTCTTCATGTCTGTTTTGATGCTGTTTTTGTTATCAAAGCTCTATATTATGTCTTACACTTTTAGAAGTTCTAGTCCATGATCAGTTGGCCTCACTGCTTTTGGGCCTGTGAAGGCAGCAGCGTGTCATGAAGCAAGAGTGTTCACCTCATCTCCAGGAAGGAAAAGTAAGAACTTGAAGTGGCTAGGATCCCATAATCCCTTTTAATGGTGTGCTCATGCCTTAAAGGTTTCACTCTAGATTTCGCCAGTCTTTTAAAGGTCACATCACTTCACAGTAACACCTCAGTGGGGACCAGGCCTTTAAACACCTGGGCCGTTAGGGCTGAATGTTTTTGTATCTGTTTATTGTCTGTTCATTTTTTTAAACCTATGTTTCTGTAGTCAATTTCACAGTATTTTTTTCTATGTTTATCTTGTTTCACTTTTTCTTATTTCATCACAGGAACTATGGGTATATAAAATATTTTGAAACTTTACATATTGATTTTTAAGTGTTTTCTTCAGGTTAATTTTTTTCTTTTAAAAATTTTCTCTTTCTTAATCCCAGTTATGTTTTAAAAGAAATTTTACCTATGGGATCTCTCATCAAATTTTAAGTGAAAAGGTATTGATTAATTTCATAATTGAAAATATTTTCCTCCAAGTCTCATCTTTCTATAATTTTGTATTTTAAATATAGCACTTTCAATTGATTTATCATTCTATTTGTCTCCTTTATTAGTTTAACATTTATCATTTATTCATTGCTTACTGGAGAGATTATAATCTGTATCCTTGACTTATTAATTATGTATAAATGAGTACTTTTCTCAAATAATACCAGAATTTTATAATTTAACTTATTTATCTTCCTTTCCATTTTTATTCTATTTTCGTTGTGATTTGAAACTCACAAAATTTGGCTGTTATATACTAAATATTTATTTAGATTAATCTATGTATCTATCAATCACCCACTCCACTTTACTTTCCCTTTACACACATTTATATTTATTTCTCACACTTTCAGTTTGAAATTAATTTGTTTATGCCTTAAGAACAGCTATTAGTATTTGCTTTAGTGTATTTCTGCTTGTAATGAATTTTCTTTTCTTTTCTGTACTGGAGATTGGACTTGGGAGCACTCAACCACTGAGCCACATCCCCAGCCCTATTTTGTATTTATTTAGAGACAGGGTCTCACTGAGTTGCTTAGCACCTCACTTTTGCTGAGGTTGGCTTTGAACTTGCAATCCTCCTGTCTCAACCTCCTGAGCCATTGAGATTATGGGCGTGTACCACCATGCCCAGCTGAATTTTCTTTTTTATAAAAAATTTAATTTTTACCTGATACATAAAACATAAAAATCATACATATTATTGGGATAATGTGATGTTTTGATACACATATAAACCATATAGTATAATGTTTAAATTAGATAGCATATATGAGTTTCATCAAACATTTATCAATTCCTTAGGATAAGAACCTTTAAAATATTTTCTGCTAGTTTTTTGAAATATGAAGTACATTTTCATTATCTATAGTCACCCTATTGTGAAACAGCACACCAGAACTTATTGCTCCTATTAAACTGTAACTTAAGTACCCATTGATCAGCCTTTCCTTATCCTTTCTTCTTCCCTCCTCTCCCTAGGGAAACCACCATTTCCCTCTCACTTCTATAGGGGTCAGCCTTTTTAGACTCCACATATGAATGGGATCATGTAGCGCTTGTCTTACTATGACTGCTTTGTTTCACTTCATATAATAACCTAGTTCCTTCCATGTTGTTGCAAATGACAGGATTTCATATTTGTTTATGGTTGTACAGTATTCCACTGTGTACATGTACCACATTTTCTTTATCTGTAGATAGACAGTTTAGTTGTCTCCATTTCTTGGCTATTGTGAATTGTATTACAATGATCGTAGGCTGCAAATGTCTCCTTGACATACCGATTTCAATTCCTTTGTATATATAACTACCAGTGGGATTGCTGGATCACGTGGTGGTGCCAAACACATAAATTCCAGAATAACACCATTCAGGAAGACAGACTAGGGGGCACATTCCATCTTGTGCTTCATATCAGGAAAGTTATAAGGATAATATGAATACCCTCTGAATTACTGTTTATTTCTGATTATGATCATTCCTATTTCTAAGACATAATGAAGACTCTGGAAGTGATTGAGAATATGCAAGAACACTTTTTATGGCACTTTGGTCTCCTTATGATGTTGTTCTACTCAGGATTCATTTCTAGTAATTACAGATCTGTGATTATATGTATGGATGTTTTAAAGTGTCTTTAGGTAGATCATTTCTTGTAGAACTTCCATGCACTGCCATTGAATAAACCAATATGGTATTAACTGAAGGACTACTGTGTCCTGTATTGTACTCTAGGCTGTCACATATTAAAGAAAAACAGCAAATAATCTCTGCTTTTGGGAAGACTATGTTAACTATATCAACCCACAGAAATAATTAGAAAACTATATAATAGTGTATATTTATGTTTTTAATGGTATAAGAGCAATCAAAATTCAGCAGGAATGAAGAGTCTAATTGAAATATAATCATAGACTGTGATTAGAGAGTTTTTATAAACCCATTGTTTGAGATATGATGTAATTAAGACAAGTTTTCATCAGTGAGGAAGTGAGATTTGAATTAGGCCTTAAAAATTGACTAGACTAAAAATAAGTATGAAATTAGAAGAAATTTAACTGGATTAATTTATTTCACATTTCCTGATTTTATTTGTATGAAGACATGCATACCATATTCAATTTAGGTTTGTCGAATAATCCATAAATTCTTAAAGTATATGTGATTAACAATGCTGCTAATGCTGAAAGACAGCTTATTTTCTTAATCCAAAGTTCACTTTATACAATTATTCTTTTTGCAAACTACTACTTGGTTATATTAACACTTGAATAATCTTGACAAGAAGTTGCTTTAAGCAGTTAAAGATCCAGATGCTGATCAGCATGCATTAAGTGATTCAGCTTAATTGGTTCCATCTAGATGAATTACTTACCTCAGTTCCTATCACAATTTCTTCCCTGGTAGAGAAGAACAGAAACTCATACAGTCTGTAATGTTGAAATAAGCTGAAATACAAAATAAATGTGCAACTATAATAAATTTACTGCAGGGAAAAAAGAAAACACATAAAGGCATTTATTAAAAGTACATTAGTGCTGATCCAGCTAAAGATACCAAATACTAATATAAAATACCTCTTTTATTTCAAAATAAATTGTCTAGAAATGTTAAGAATGAGATTTTAATTTCTGAGACATTTACAATGTAACACAGTACCTAGAATAATGTCAATAAATTAATCTGTGGTGATTGGATAAGTTTGGGATAAGAAAGCAATTAGATTGCATCTTGGTAATTCTGAACTTAAAACCAAATAAGGTCCATCCCTAAATAACACTAAATTTCACATTATTTTCTGTTTTGCTCCAAAATAGAGTCAATTTGCTCTGATATGAATGGCACTGAATTCTGTAATCTACTTCCATATCAATTACTTCTTCATACAGTCTTAAACTGTTTCAAGATTAAATTAATCTCCAATAACACCTGAAAAATGATGCGACATGAGCTGAAATCCATTTAGAAGATGTCCAACTTTCCTGCAGAATATTCAATCACACATCAAAGGGTGGAATACATTTAAGACAAATCATTTCCTTTTTTCTTACCTGGAAACTAGGTGGTCAGTGTATAAAAACTACAAAAAGACAAAGGATAAGAGCTCCCGAAAATAAATATTTTTAGCAAATTTAAAGAACTCAGCAATGTATTATTGAGAGTTAAAAATAAACTGAAGGGCTGACTTCTAATATCCTGTTTGTGATAATATTTGAATTTTTCTAATTCTCTTCCTGCTGGTTGGGAAAATTAATAGACTCATATTACAGCAAAATGCCCAAGAACAAAAAATTGTCTTAGTGGTTTCTCTTTCACTCTGGTGCCTTTTGCTATTTAAGAAAATTGATTTTAATATAACTGAGAAATTAACATTTGCAAAATGTAGCTACAGAGCATGTATAATAATGGCTTCTCCTGAATGCTGTAATGGATCAAAGTTTCAATTCATTTGGAATCAATGAAGAAATCCTCAGGCAGCTGGGTCTCTTTGAGTTATATTAGCAGTTGATCTCACTACTAACACAATCCATTAAAAAGTGATAGGTGTGTAGACTCACTTATGGTTTTTCTTTTTTCTTTTTCTCTTTTTTTTAACCTTGTACACTTGAATTACTCATCAACATTCACAAAACTAACTTAGCTTTTTGGCATCACTTTGATTTGTTGGCTAGGAAAATACATTAAGATTAGTGAAGTTTGATGTTTCATTGGTGCAAAATAAATTCATATTCTCCCCCCCTGAAACTAGTAGCCTAGAGAAAGCTGTAAGGTCAAAAATATTACATTGGCAGTAAGTGATTTTGAGTAAAAAAACTGAAGACCATGTTGTGGAAATAGCTTGGCTTCCTCCTCGTGAACAAGAGTAAAATTTCCCTTTCTCCATCCTGTGTCACACAAAGAACTTACTTCATAAATATTCCTTCCTGCAATTTCATAATCTTTCAGTTTTATTCTCCTTGTTGCACATAGGAATCACGTTGTCCCTGTCCGGAGGGAAACGACCTTGCAATGAAATGAGCTGTGTGACTTGGATGCCATGGTCAAAGATGCAGAGCTGGGAGCAAGGCAGATCTAGGGTGATATATCCAGGAGAAGGGGCCTAAAGAGCCAGTTTCTTAGGGGCAGCCAAAGTCCTTTTCCCTACCTCAGTTTTACCAGAGAGTGACAAATGGTCATGCAGGAGAGCAAATGATACTTCAGTTGTGGGAGTACATTTTCTCTTTCTTCCTTTAGACTTCTGGATGATCACGTTCCTAGACTATTTTATCACACATCTAGCCTTAGTGTTAATTTAAAGGGAGATGGAATGGAAATAGGTCAATACATCTTCTCCAAGCCAGGATGTACAATATACTATTGTGCACAGAGGGGCAGATTGGCTTTCTTATATGAGACATATGCCTGCACACATAACCTTGCCTAATTCCCAGGGAACAGATAGAATACACAATGCAAGAAATGTGCTTGGATTTGAGATATATCTCATCTCTTTCTCTCTCTCTCTCTCTCTCTCTCGCTCTCATTCTATGTATCTATATATATATCATATATTGATATATATATGTAATCTCATGATATATATATATATATATATATGACATATACATAATTTATATACATCTATATATCATACACATGTATATAGGTCTCAATATATTTATGAATATATCATAAACACATATAAATGATTACATTAAAGCTACAGTGACATTTATAGCCATATTTATGTCTGTAACATATTATATATACAAATGTATATACTGCACAAATAGATTTGTCAGTACTTACAGTAATATGGGGGACAAATTTTGGTATTAGTTTTTTCAAATCAGAGACCCATCATGGGATATATACTAAGAGCATCCAATGGAGTTTAATTTTATTGTCAATTTCTTGTGCTATGAGTCATGTTCTACAAATTGATCTCCCTAAATTAACTAGGGCATTGAGCAGTTGGGTAAAGTTGCTATCAGGCTAAATTGAAATACACATACACTTTTAATAATTGAGTTGCATTCATATTTATAAAACTGCCTTATACTCATCAAAATGAATGTATTATGTGATTTAATTGCCACTGCACTTACATTTGTGAATCTATGAGGGATAATGAACAGGTGTTGTAGGAAAGCACATTTCCTTTCACCCAACTATAGTATAAATTCCAGATATACTACTAACTGATATTTTGTCTTTCTGTAACAAGGAGATTTAAAATACAAAACTTGCTTAAATTCATAAATGAAAATTTAATAGCATGAAAAATGATTCTGGTTGATTTTATTTGACTCATCTCTCAAATGTTACTTTTTTTTTAAGAGACATGGGATTATAAGTTTTTGGTATGTGAAGTTAGTGAGGTTAGGATCCAAAGGTGAAATAGAAATGGAGAGACTTCTGTCAAACTCATTCTAGTTATCACCTGGAACCAAAACCAGCCAAAGACACATCAGGGAAAGAAAACTTCAGACCAGCATCCCTGATGAATACAGATGCAAAAATTCTTAATAAAATATTGGCAAATCATATACAAAAACACATGTAAAAGTTAGTGCACCATGGTGGAGTAGATTTCATCCCAGGGATGCAAGGTTGGTTAACATATGGAAATCAATAAATGTAATTTACTACATAAAGAGTCTTAAAGACAAGAATCCTATGATTATCTCAATAGATGCCGAAAAAACATTTGACAAAGTACATCACACATTCATGTTGAAAACACTAGAAAAAATAGGGATAGAGGGAAATTAACACCAAAAATCCCTAAAAAATTAAGCAGGAAAAAGAAGTAAACAGAAAATTCTAAATAGAAGAAACACAAAAAAGTAAATAAACACATGAAAAAATGTTCAATATCTCTTTTAATTAGGGAATTGCAAATCAAAACTACACTAACATTTCATCTCACTCCAGTCAGAATGGCAACAATCAAGAATACCAACAACAATAAATGCTGAAAGGTTGTGGAGAGAAAGGAACACCTGAACATTGTTGGTGGCACTGAAGGCCAGTAGAACCACTCTGGAAAGCAGTTTGAAGATTCCTCAAAAACTAATGGGATTCTAGTTATTAACTCTTGTGCTATGGGTGTCCTATTGAGAAATTTGGAGCCCGACCCCACAGTATGTAGATCGTAGCCAACTTTTTCTTCTATCAGACGCCATGTCTCTGATTTGATATCAAGCTCCTTGATCCATTTTGAGTTAACTTTTGTGCATGGCGAGAGAAAGGGATTCAATTTCATTTTGTTGCATATGGATTTCAAGTTTTCCCAGCACCATTTGTTGAAGATGCTATCCTTCCTCCATTGCATGCTTTTAGCCCCTTTATCAAATATAAGATAGTTGTAGTTTTGTGGATTGGTTTCTGTGTCCTCTATTCTGTACCATTGGTCCACCTGCCTGTTTTGGTACCAGTACCATGCTGTTTTTGTTACTATTGCTCTGTAGTATAGTTTGAAGTCTGGTATCGCTATACCGCCTGATTCACACTTCCTGCTTAGCATTGTTTTTGCTATTCTGGGTCTTTTATTTTTCCATATGAATTTCATGATTGCTTTCTCTATTTCTACAAGAAATGCCATTGGGATTTTGATTGGCATTGCATTAAACCTATAGAGAACTTTTGGTAATATCGCCATTTTGATGATGTTAGTTCTGCCTATCCATGAACAGGGTATATTTTTCCATCTTCTAAGATCTTCTTCTATTTCTCTCTTTAGGGTTCTGTAGTTTTCATTATATAAGTCTTTCACCTCTTTGGTTAGGTTGATTCCCAAGTATTTTATTTTTTTTGAGGATATTGTGAATGGAGTGGTTGTCCTCATTTCCATTTCAGAGGATTTGTCACTGATATACAGGAATTCCTTTGATTTATGTGTGTTGATTTTATATCCTGCCACTTTGCTGAATTCATTTATTTGCTCTAATAGTTTCTTTGTAGACCCTTTTGGGTCTGCTAGGTATAGAATCATGTCACTGCAAATAGTTATAATTTAAGTTCTTCTTTTCCTATTTTTATGCCTTTAATTTCTTTCGTCTGTCTAATTGCTCTGGCCAGTGTTTCGAGAACTATGTTGAACAGAAGTGATGAGAGAGGGCATCCCTGTCTTGTTCCAGATTTTAGAGGGAATGCCTTCAATTTTTCTCCATTCAGAATGATGCTAGTCTGAGGCTTAGCATAGATTGCTTTTACAATATTGAGGTATGTTCCTGTTATCCCTAGTTTTTCTAGAGTTTTGAACATAAAGGGATGCTGTACTTTGTCAAATGCTTTTTCCACATCTATCGAGATGATCATATGGTTCTTATTTTTAAGTCTATTGATGTGGTGAATAACATTTATTGATTTCCATATATTGAACCAGCCTTGCATCCCAGGGATGAATCCTACTTGATCATGGTGCACAATTTTTTTGATATGTTTTTGTATCCAATTCGCCAGA